CGGCCTTCCCTCCCTCCCCCTCCTCCTCCTCCTCCTCCACACAGCGGGGCTCCTCCTGCAGCCGGGGAGCCGGACTGGACGTTTGACGGACACCGGGGCGCCCTGGAGCGCCGTGCATTCGGTAAGAGAGCGCCCGCTCAGCATCATGCGGGGTGGGACTACAGGGTCCAGCGTGGCCTGTCAGCCCTGCGCTCCGCCGGTCAGCCAGATCTGAGTGCACTGCGGCTATTGGATGTCATGTGACCAGGCTGCTGAGGAACTACAGATCCCAGCTTGGCCTGCATGTACAATCCTGTGTTACATCTGGCTGGAGGAGGCCATTGGAAAGGTGTGTGTGTCGTCCTAGCAGATGTGGCTGGTGATGGCAGTGTGCAGGGCTGGTGGAGGGGCTGTGAGATTGTATATTTGGCTTCAGTTAAAGTACATTTATAGCTAAATCTCTCGTTCTGGATGAATTGTGGCAGGATTAAGAATCCCTTTCAGGTTTTATTGCTGCCCAGGACTCCCTTACAGATAATTCACCTCACTTCCTGTTGTGGTAACAGTTTTGCACCAGACAGGATGTGAAGGAAACAGTTTGTGAAGTATTGTCAATTCTGCTTTTACAAGGCAATATCTACATCTGCTGCACACATAGTGGATTTCTATCCTTGGTGGTATGATGACTATATTGAAGTGTACGTTTTTGTGTCTGAATTCATCTGAAAGTAGGTATTTTTATCGTCTGTCTATCTAGTGCTGATTCTCCCTCACTTCCTGTCTGTGTCACCAGAATAGGAAGTCTGGTATCTGAGCAGTACAATCTGTGAGGGGGCTTCCATCCCGAGTAAGGAAATCCAAGTTTTCATTATAGATACAATTTAAATGTATCCAAAGTGGAAGTTTTTTCATGTGGCATATGGAAGGGTTAATACACTTCAAGCTTTTATCTGTGGTGCTCATTTGGGGCGACTTAATTCTACATCCTGCTTAGTAAACAGGAAGTGGGAGGAAATCTTAAGTGTGGCAAATGCTCTCTAAGTTGTCACGGAAACCAATGTCCCCATTGGGAGATTTCCCCTCTGTTCCTGTTCCATTGAGGAAATGAGAGGAAATCTCTCGTTTGGAACATGCTAAGTTGCCATGGAAACCAATGTCCCCATTGGCAGGTTTCATCTCTGTTCCATTGACAGCTCAAAGTTTGGGATTTCCCCCCCTGGGGTATTAAAGGTGACCGCGCATGTTCCAATCTCGGAGTGGGATTCCTGACTGCCTCGTGTTGTCAGGAGTTCAGTTCATATTCTGTGGAGGTGACTCTTGTTTGCTGGTGAATGTAGAGAAGGTCGTCCAGTCACATTTTAATGTACACGTTCTATTTTAAATCTGTACTGTTGGTGTTTATTGGTGTGAGGGTCTGGTGGGTATATTCTGAATGGACCCTTTAAGATACCAGCAGCCTTTCCATGGCTGCTGGTAACTTTGCTGGAGATGTCAGGTTAGAATTTGAAAGACCCGTGTGAGAAGCCTCAGACGACAGTGGCGTACTCTGAGCTGCAGGAGCACCCACGAGGCCTTGGGTTTGCAGACTGGCAGCTTCCATCTGAGATTTGTCCGTGCTGCAGCACCACTACTGAAGAACCGGATTGTTTGCTGCATGGCCGCATTTTATACTGTATAATGAGTGAAGGTTGATGGGGACACGCAGGATAGCACTTCAACATAATTCCGCAGGCTAAGACGGTTCGTGGGTGTCTTTGTTTACTGGAATGCTTGGCGGTGCCAAGTCATGCAAACCTCACTTCCCCTCATACATAGTATATCTTGTGTATGCTGTGTCCGCCTAACGTGGAGTCCTGCAAGACAAATCCAGGGAGTATTGACCCTTGAGTGATCTGTTTCCTTACATGACCCATTAACACTCTGTGCTCAGGAGTATTGAGTGTTCCTAGTAAGTGCCGGGCACTGCTGGGATCAGTCAAATGCGACTCCTGGGCACTGCTGGGATCAGTCAAATGCGACTCCTGGGCACTGCTGGGATCAGTCAAATGCGACTCCTGGGCACTGCTGGGATCAGTCAAATGCGACTCCTGGGCACTGCTGGGATCAGTCAAATGCGACTCCTGGGCACTGCTGGGATCAGTCAAATGCGACTCCTGGGCACTGCTGGGATCAGTCAAATGCGACTCCTGGGCACTGCTGGGATCAGTCAAATGCGACTCCTGGGCACTGCTGGGATCAGTCAAATGCGACTCCTGGGCACTGCTGGGATCAGTCAAATGCGACTCCTGGGCACTGCTGGGATCAGTCAAATGCGACTCCTGGGCACTGCTGGGATCAGTCAAATGCGACTCCTGGGCACTGCTGGGATCAGTCAAATGCGACTCCTGGGCACTGCTGGGATCAGTCAAATGCGACTCCTGGGCACTGCTGGGATCAGTCAAATGCGACTCCTGGGCACTGCTGGGATCAGTCAAATGCGACTCCTGGGCACTGCTGGGATCAGTCAAATGCGACTCCTGGGCACTGCTGGGATCAGTCAAATGCGACTCCTGGGCACTGCTGGGATCAGTCAAATGCGACTCCTGGGCACTGCTGGGATCAGTCAAATGCGACTCCTGGGCACTGCTGGGATCAGTCAAATGCGACTCCTGGGCACTGCTGGGATCAGTCAAATGCGACTCCTGGGCACTGCTGGGATCAGTCAAATGCGACTCCTGACCTGATCTCTACAGCCAGCTCCTACGTTAATCCTCTTGTATGTTCAGGCAATGTGCCTGGCGTGGCATGGAGCTGTATTGGTGTCGTGTGCAAAGGCCGAACTGACCAATGTGAGGAGAGTCTTGCTGGCCATGCAAGGGAAGCAGATTCCTAAACGTCCAGAGAGCCGCATGTAGCTGCTTCAGATCTAGAGCTTTTCCATCACTTCTAGGTTTGGATGATATGGTCGTGTGTGAGTTTAGAGCCGCCTATTAATAGGTCATTTCTAGAGCTGCTGGATGAATGTTTTATTTTGAAATCTAAACTCAGTGCTCACTGTACTTTCTGTGCAGGAGAAAGCTTCCTTGTTTGGATCATGTGCTTTGCTGAACTAATGGGATAGGAGTCTATCAGTTTTCCAAGTCTTGAAGATGGACTTACTGGTGTACAGATTGACTATGGCAGGAGTGGACAAAATAATGAATTCAGGAGGCGGTCCGTCCAATCCAGGAGTCGGCAGGATTTTGTAGGAGCCAGCTTCATTGACCATAACTAGAGAAGACCAAGTTAGGTGTCAGCTGTAATTTTCAAGGAGCACTGGCTACCTGTCCCCTGGTATTTGTCCAGCCCCGCACTATGGTTTAGGACGGGTAGCCTACTACTGGCGCACAGGTTCGTTGTGGTTTAGGAGCGATTTGTGTTTGCTAAATTTATACTAAAAGAAGATTATTTCATATCAGGATACAGAGCTGCATGCCGGTGTGATTTTTTTTTTTTTTTTTTTTTTTTTTTGTGAAAGGGTGTAAAGGTCCACTTTAAGAGCCGTGACAGAAAGCCCTGACCAAAACAACAGTTGCTAATACAATCTACAAAAGGTTGCCATCTGAAGCCTGGGGCAGTGTGTTTTGTGATTGGCAAGGAAGAGAGGGGGACGGAGATATGACCACAGAGGTCTATGAAACCTGCAGCACCAGAGCAGGGACAGAAGTTAGACAAGAGCTGGACCTCCACCCGCAGGTATATTGAAGGAGGCAGGTGGCGTCACAGAAAAGTCATTCACCAATTTACTGAATTGCAATTAGACTGATCTCTGAGCTGGGCTTCAAAACTTGTATTTAATTGTTTTAACAAACTTTTTTTGCTTTTACTTACAATTTCTGTTTTTACACTTCCTGGTCCTCTTGGGCCTTAATGATGCAGCGCATGCCTAAGAGATGTATGCTGGGAAATCTCATCTGTAAACTGCAAAATCCCTCAGGATCTCGGAAGGCATTCATTCCCCTGAGATCATGTGCGTGGTCACATGTGCCAGAGTTCCAGGAAGTACAGGGAGATGGATCAAATTGCCCTTAGTATGATGACCTTTGTGTAAAATGATGAAACTGAAACTTCAATAAAATATTTTTAGAAAGAAAAAAAAAAGGCCACTGTGAAGAATGGAGAGAAGATATGCAAAGAGTAAAAATCTGCAAATGATCTATAAGCATTTGTTTGTATATTGTCCTTACTAAACATTTCTAAAGGCGTCTTTGTTGGCATTTTAAAGATGAGGTTTAGGTTCAGGTTCCTTTTTAAGCCAGACACCGCTACTAGAGGTAAAAAAAACAACAACAAAAAACCCCAAATCAATTGCTTCCTGACATTATTTCTTAGTATAAAAGTTGTTTCGGGAAAAGGAGCAATGAAATACAGCGGGTAGGCTTTTTATGTCCTTAAAGTGGCTCTGATGCTGTATTTAAAAAGGACAATGTAAACTCTTCCATGTCCAGCCGCCTGCACTGCTGATCTTGGCTCTCCGCTCCTGCCAAAGTATCATTAGCAGCGGACACATTTCTGGGGTTGTCGGATTCCTAGTCAGTTGCAGCATGCAGTGGTTTCTTCCGCCAGCCTCAATGTCACTATCGCATGGGAGCTGTTGCAGGGGTATGCAGCCTCGGCACTTCAGCTGTTGTTGGACTTGCATTTCTATGCGGCATTGCAAGACTCTGCCTGCTACAGGCATGACTCCCAGAGGCAGAACCATGATGGGAATTGTAGTTTCAGCACAGCTGAAGTGCCAATGTTGCCCACCCCTGAGCTACCGAAAGGAACTATAGTGTGCAAATAGGGATCAGCCACCTGAAAACCCTGGAAGTGTTGGTGCTATAGAGTTTTCAGCAAGCTTCTGAAGAGTGAAGATCGTCAGCAGGACAGCAAGGTATTGGCTCTTTCCTTACAGGGAATGCTTTGTTTTCATTAATATTGTAAGTCACTTTACTGGTGGATCATTTTTAATTTTCCAGCAGTGCATAGTTAGATTTTTAATATTCCAGGACTTGTTGCCATCATTCCTCATCTCTCATAAACTCAGTTATCACATGTCGGGGCAGGTATTACTGGATGAAGGGCTTTGTAGCCTTTTATTCTCATCAGCTTTGATCCAAAGCGTATGACCTCTGAGCACAT